AAATCTGGGAATTGAAATCCACAAGTCTTAAAAGTTGCCAAGTTTGGAGACCCCCGTTGTAAGGGAAGAAAAACAAGGAAGAAAATCAGCCGTAAGGATGATCAACAGTTCTACAAAGAGGTGGATGGCACCACCAAATGCTTTATGGCCCAAACTGGATGATTTCCAAGAATTATTGAAAATCTCAAGTTTTTTCTGGACGGTCTACTTTTCCTTTGCCACGCGCTCCTGCCCTCCTGCCTCTATTCATTCCTGAGTCCCAGTTCGCTGGTTGTTTTCTCGTGAGCAGGACCCTCCTGAGTGTCCCCCGTCAAAATGTTGACATTTTTCTCTCCTGCGTGAACCGTGTAATGCCGGTGAAGTTCCGATTTCGACCGGAAGTTCTTCCCACAGTCAGTACACAGGAACGGCTTGGCCCCCGTGTGAGTCCTCTGGTGGGAAATGAGGTTGGAGTTACGGTTGAAGCTTTTCCCACACTCCAGACAGGCGTATGGTTTTTCCCCCGTGTGGATCTTCTGGTGCCGGGTGAGGCTGGTGCTGTCGCAGAAACTTTTCCCGCAGTCCGAACAGATGTACGGGGTGCCTCCGGTATGGACCCGCTGATGTCGGACGAGGCTCATGTTGGAGTAGTAACTCTTCCCGCACTCGGCGCATTCGAACGGCTTCACTCCAGTGTGGGTTTTCCGGTGCGTGATGAGATTGGAGCTCCAGCGAAACCCTTTCCCGCATTCCAAGCATGTGTAAGGCATTTCCCCCGTGTGGATTCTCTGATGGAGCGTCAGATCCGCTTTCCGGCAAAAGTTTTTCCCGCAGTCGGCACAGTGATAGGGTTTTTCTCCCGTGTGGATCCTCTGGTGTATCCGAAGCTCCGATCGTTCGCAGAAGCTGACGCCGCATTCCGGGCACTTGTACGGCTTCTCTCCTTTGTGGATGATGGAATGCCTGATTAAGTGCGACTTCACGCGGAAACTCTTCCCGCAATCCAAGCACTGGTAGGCCTTCTCCCCTGCGTGGATCCTCTGGTGAATTGTGAGGCCTGAGCTCTGGCAGAAACATTTGCCGCAATCCAAACATTTGTATGGTTTTTCTCCGGTATGGATTCTCTGGTGTCTGACCAAGCTGGTGCTGTAATTAAAACTCTTCCCACAATCCGGACATTTATAAGGCATGTTCCCTGTGTGGGTGACCTGAAATTCGATGATATCTGCGTTATCGTCGGCTACTCCGACAGCCTCACTGTTCACTCGACGGACTTTCTTCAGATTTGTGCTTTCTCCGATGAGCTCAATGCCTTTGCAACGAACCACCTTCCCGATGTTCTTCTCTGCTTCCCCTTCAAATCCCTGCCAAATTCTGGGAACATCTTGGAGCTCGCCATTCGGGGAATCCTTCAGCTCCGAGATTCCCGTCACTACCCCGTTGGTGCTTTCTCCTGCAACGTCTGGCAGATCGGTGGCTTTATCGGTACGCCTCAAAGATTCACCTGGAGAAGGAATAAGAGATAAAAAGGGGGAAATCTGGCGTTTCCATTTGGCTTCCCACTTCCAAACTATTCGCCGGAATTTTAAACTCAGTTTCTGGAAATCAGATGCTCACTTTGGCTATATTTCAATGTTAGAGAACTCTAGGCTTATTCACCTACCATATTTGTCGGACTATACAGGCTTCCCAAACCCCCTGCCCCCCCCGTTTTTTTGCAAAAAAA